TTGAAAATCTCACCTTAACCTTTCACTGCAGCCAAAATACTGCCTTGTGTTCAAAATAAAGACYCAAGTCTCTCCATTAAATGMTTTRTCTTTTTGCAAATTGAGTGATGTATACACATGCACACTGATTTATTCCTTACATGTCCGTTTTTACAGTTCTCGCTCACTAAGACAAATAGATGCACAAGTACGCCCATTTCGGACTATTTAGTCATCACCAATATGACCCATGTGCTGAACCTGAGGACTTCCCGTTTCCTTCTCTCCATATTTGCTGTGTTTTTTTCTTGCCTTCCACATTCTTCCCATCCTCCCTCTGCTGCTGCAGTGTGCGTGAGAGAGAGAAAGCAAAGCCACGTAAGGTTATACACAGTGGCATGATGCCATGCATTCTGATTTATAGATCTAAAATGGCTGCCGTGTTGTGACTGCTGTAGAGGAGTTAAGTGGAGAGCGAGGAAGAGGTGTGCAGGGAGGAGGGCTGTCAGGGTGGAGGTGTGTGCGTTTGCTCGAAACGATGAACCTTCCCTCGGACGTTGRGCTCTCTTCACTCAGAGCGTCCCGGGCCCCGGAGGGTTCTGCTGTGGTTTGGTGGTCATGGCTGATTAATTAGGCCACGAGGTACATCGCTTTCTGCTTGTGTCGGCTGGCTTACCACAATCCTATTGGATAAAAATAAATAAAAAAATAAAATGCTCTCCTCTGTCAGACTGTATATGGTTTGTATTTGTAAGGTAAATATGTCTGTTGACAGCTGTTAGGTCTGTATACGTTGGTTCCTCTCCTACGGGGAAATTGGAGTCCTCACAGAAGCAGCGGCCACTGAGGAGCTAGAGGTCAGCTGCTGCCTCAGCCTCTCCGTGGAGCACAGAGCTTTGATTTACTGACACCACTGCAACACTTCCAGCTCACTCACACACAGCTGGTACCACGCTGCCTCCATGTGGACATATTTACACACCACTACTTCTACAGGATGGCAGTCATAAACAAGTCTCAAATGGAAATTCCTGGACTATTCTGGCTGTTAATATTAATATGRTGTATCTATCTACCACTGGACATATGGATGAATACAATATAAAAATGTCGGGAGGATCTTTCATACCATAATAAAGCCATCATAGTCATTAAAAAGGTTTCATACTTTTATTTTGTTGAAAATTCTTTACTTGCAACAGATACTTAATTTTTTTTCGATTCTGTTTTTTTCTAAAGCTGTCCAAGATAGTCATGACCATATTAAGTGCTTAAATTAATTTTTTTAAGCTTTCGCTGCAGTTGATATTTGCTAACAGACACTCATCTCTGCAACAATCTTCAGGTCTTTAAAATTGAAAGGCTTGTTGCTATCTTTCAGGTTTTAGATTTTCTACACAGAGAAAAGATGAATGTCAGGTCTTGTTTTTTTTTTTTAATCCAGAAATGCTAATGTTTTACTTTTATTGGCTTTTGTCCATTTTAGTTTTGTTTCCGTTTTTTGTTCAAATGTTTTTCTTCTTTGCAAAGTTTTTCCATAGACTCTCTGACCCTTTGCTTCATAATCTGATTCAAGTTTTCTTCAAATCAAAAAAGATGCTGTGAATCAAATATTGAACATGGGTAAATAAAACATTGGTGTGATGTTTGAGCTTTAAACTACAGTGTGGTCTCCATCAAAATGGTCAGACTTTGCAAGTTTTCTTACTTARATTTCATCTTTTTTCTCTTCACTTCATAATTCTCATTTCATACATAAAAAAATAATTTTAATATTGAGTTGTTCACAATCACTTATATACTGTAGAGCTACAAAATAAAACTATTGTGATTTGCAATAGTTTTTGAGCTCCACCTTTTCTTTCACCTGCAGCTGGCACACAGCACCTACACCTACTGTAGCACATCAAATCACAGGTGTATGTTTACAGATTTTATATGGCAATTATTAGTGAAAAAGTTATTCCAAATTATAATTTTGAAATATTTGTATATTTTAGACAAAACATTATGGCTAAAATTTGACTCCACTAAGTTGACTGAACTGCAGAGTTAATCAACCCTGATATAAATGATCATAAATTCACTGCACAGCTAATAAATGTTCGTCCGTCTATAGATAACAGTGATCAGTCTGCAGCTTCTTCCACAGTATGAAACAAAAGGTTTTTTTTTTGTTGTTGTTTTATTTTTTATTTATAGTATACAGTATGTGGGAGAGTTGGGGGAGGAGATTTCAAGTTCCTTTGTTTTTTTTTTATAATAAGACAAACTGTAAAAATGTTATAAATACCCCATATTCCACTAAATATCAAAAGAAGAAAAAAAATGTAAAAATATGCGTTTGCATGGATACATAAGAATTTATTTACTCTTATTCCCTCACTGATCTTTTAAAGTCATTTAATTTAATAAAGTTTGCTACTAGTTCAAAGCAGATTCATCTGTACTTAATATATATGATCTATCAGAAGAACCAAAAATTTACTTTCTACATTTATATTTTAGAGCATTCCACTTTGTATAATGTAGCTTAGAAGTTTAATTTTATATTCTTGTAAATTTACTTTCACCCAGTCTCTGAAAATGACAGAAAAATAACAGAAGAAGAAAAAAAATAGTATTCAAGAGCAACACCTTGATTCAAAAATCTGTTTCCGAGCCTGATTCTCCATCTTATCTGTTTGTTTTGTTGCCTGCCGATGTTGCTTAATGAGAGAGGAGAGAGTAAACGAAGCCAGTAAAGTTGGGTCCAGTAAATCCCAGTGTGATAAACACACACACACGCACACACACACACACACACACACAGGGATCATAAAGCTGGGTGATAAATCTTTGCAGCTTCTTCATTATGAGCAGCAACACCTTTTCTTTTGTTTAACCGAACCTCCACACACTGCTCATAATCTCTTTATCAAAATCAAAGCTGTGTTTTTAGCCCAATTATAGTTAAATGTTTGGYCCATAGTGAGTATAAAGATAGATAATGCCAGTCTGGAAGAGCCTTTTAAGGGGGGATATTATGTATTTTCCAGGCACACAGTTCAATTCTGTACCACAGTTAAATAACTGTTATCTTCACTTGTTACAAAAAATGCAGTGTATACAAAAAAAAAAAAAAAAAAAACAGCAAAACTTTGCATCATAGCATCTAAACGTCTTGAAATTGGGCTTCTTTTTGAAGAACCTTCTACCATTTCTGACACTACCATTTCAGCTTGCCTTCACAACAATTCTTCAGGGAGGGGTGCTCTGGGTGGGACTCCACTGTGGACTGAGCTTCAGGGAGGAGCTAGGTACAGTAGGCGGTGCTTTGTATCAGTAAGTGTTTAGGCAGCTCCAAATGGCTACAACAGGAGATTGAAGGATTTCTCAAAAATGCATGAATGAGTCAAAGCAACACTCATATTTTGATGAGGTAATGACATGACATGATATAAAGCTAAAAATAAAGTTGATTTTGCGTAAAACCACTCTTTAATAAGACCTTTATAATGTTTATTTTTTTCTTCATGTAGGGCTTACKTGACATATTTCAGATTTTGTCATTTAATGCTAAGGAAAACCTACCTACACCTAAATGGTACTAAAATGTATTCAAGGAGAGCGAGTTCATAGGCTGATAAGAACAGCTTGAGCCCAGATTAAATACACTCAGCTCCTTTTTAATGGCGACTTCCCCGCAAAGCAGCTTCATGCAACCTACTTGTTGCCCACAGACAGTCCCAGTGCACTTCAGACTTGTTTTGTCAGAGCACTGATCTATAGAGGACTGAAGGATTGTTTTATTAGGTAGAGGGYAAAAAAAACCACTCGGCGCAGCAGGTATACCTTTGATACTCCTGTCAGAGGTGTTTCGGTGTGTGCAGGTGCGTCTGTTTGAAAGAATGTGTTGTTGTTTTAGAGCGTTTGAAGAATTCTCTCGAGGTGTTTAGAAGTGTGAAAGTGTCTTGAGTTCTCAAAGACAGCGGATACTCTTTGATGCTTTGTCCTACAGAGAGAGCCACGAAGGCYCACCGCACTATAAAAAGAAGCTCATGTTCCTTTTTTTTTTTTGTGTCACTCAATCACTTTGCTGTTTAGTTGAAGAGCACAGAATYTTTACTGTATCAGCGAGAGGTACTCAAAGTTCATGACTAATGTACTACAGACTTCAGAAAGCTTTTAAAAGATGTGATAGTTTGAAGGAAGTTATGACTGACACAGGAAGCAGTCTTCAGATTATTTTATGCAACTTGGTGTGTTGAAAAGATTCATGAAAAAAACAGCATTAGGTTCTTTTTTTACCACTATTTCTCATGGAGTTCCGCAAGAGTCAGTTCTGGGTCCTGTTCTGTTTAAATTGTTTCCATTTGATCTACTGTTAGACAACACAACTTATCCTAATACTCCTGTGCTGATGACCTCATGAGTCAGTTTAACCCAAGGGCAGCAGGAGGGTTAATCTTCAAAATAATGTTCTACTAACAAAAAAATAATTATTACACAGAAACTTCTTAAGAAAAAATATTATTTTGGATGTGTTCTGCTGAATAAGTTATTTAAATGTGATGCTCTTTTGTACTGTCTACATAATAATTGTCCATGTTCTTCAAAGTACTGTTAAATATATTTTTAGTGAAGTTTCACAGTCATAACCAAAAATAYAAAAGAAAAATCCAGTCTTTTTAAAGGTCAGCCACATGAGTTTTTCTATAAAGTCCCTAAGTAAACATCTTATRATTCCAAGACTGAATGAAAAATTAGTGCAACCTAGATTTTTTTTTCCTAGTTGATCTCTGACATTACAGCTCCGTTCTCCGACACTGTTGGCAACAAGAATAGTTTTTATTTTAAAATGCTTTCTCAAGCTATTAGTTAGATTCATTTGTTTTAATTAGTTGATTAATTTTAATATTTTTGTACAGTCTATGTATTTTTAGGGGGTGTTGAACTTTTATAAACCCAAATATGTTTTTCTCACCTTTGAGTATTTACATTTACTGTAACTAAATACTGTGTTTGTATTTCATCCTCAGGAGCTGAAGAAGAAAAACCTTGGACCAATCACAACAGAAATTCTGGAGGGGCAGGAGTTTTTCTACGCTGAAGACTACCATCAGCAGTACCTTAAGAAGATTCCCAAAGGCTACTGTGGCCTCAAAGGCACCGGGACTCCTTGTCCCATCGGCGGCAACAAGGATGAGATTTGAGGATGATGATGGAAAATTTATGGATGGTGATAAAAAAAATTGGAGAAAAATCAAAATTATTTTTGTATCTACATTTGATCACAAGATTTGAATATCTTCTAAAAACAGCTACACAATTAAAAAAATTCTAAGTTTTTTTTAAGAGCATCCATTGTATTTACAGGTAATCATATTAGTCAAATCATAAATATTTAATCAGCCTGAAATAATTTGTTCAAAGCCTCAGAACCTCAGTGTACAAAGAATTCATGAAGGAAAGTGAAAAAGAATAAAATAAAATAAAGCACTTGAAAGCACTTTACAGAAAATTTTTTAAATTATTTTTTAAAACCACAAAATGTATAAAAAATGAATTTAATTCAAATATTTTCTTTTATATTGGGCTGCAGTGACGGTCATTGTCCACCAGGTGGTAATATTTCTCCAAAAAAATTCCAGCTGCTTTTTAAATTTGACACATAGAAAACCATTTACAAAATTATTATGATGTAATGTTGATGCACTAAAATGAAAGTTTAAGTTTTTGCAATYCAACACTTGAGTCAAATTTACTTACTTAACTCTTAAGTTTTTTATGACTATTAATAGTCGAATACAGCAATGCCATCATACTTTTAATACTGTTTAACTATTAATTTAAGGGAATACATGTTAAATCTTTCAGAGGATCTTTTAGATGCTTTTTGAAACAATAAAACTACTTTTCCACACATTTTTAATGATGTGTACATATTTTTTAATGTAAATGTGTTAGCATTTTTGTTCCCCATGTAGCTATATTTAGCTACTATATCTTTTTTTTTTTAATTCTTGAAACCTTTTCTCCTCCACTTGAAGGGACGTGCCACAACACTGAGGGACAAACAAATGTGAGTCAGACGCACTCATTCTGCACAGCAGGATGAGAAGCTCGAGGCAGGTGTCTGTGCTGTATGATGCACACTTTGCTGAAACCCTCACCACAGTTCTTGCAAAACCCAGAATTAGAAGATAAAGTGCCATTAATGAACTATCATAGATAAAAGAAATAAAGCTTCTTTCTTTTTCAAATTGCATAGCACATTTTAAAAACATAAACATGCTTACGTGAAAGTCTATTTTAAAAATAAAAATCATGGTTACAATCCAAAATACAGAGATGGTATCTAGAAAAAGCTTTCTGGTCGACCGCAGTAGTGTGATTCAACCCGCTCTTGTTTTRCCCCTCCCTCTCTGCTATCTTTCTTTCTCTGTCTGTGTGTATGTGTCACATCCTGACACCTGTGTGTAGGTGTGGACCAGGGCACAGGTGCAGGTGCAACCTCCCCGGGCCTATTTTAGTATTGGGGCAGATATTTTTGCATGTGTCTGCATGCAGAAGTCGTGCATGTGCGCGAGTGTACGTAGGCCTACGTGTGTGTGTGTGTGTGTGTGTGTGTGTGTGTGTGTGTTGAGGCATGTGAAGCTGTGGCTTGCTTGATCGAACTGCTCGGCGTGGTATGTGGTTGGGCCAACAAGCTGTTTTCCTATAAGTGCCTGCTTATAGTTTGCATTCTGTTTTTATGTGTTTGAAGTAAATGTTTGAGGAGATAACCTTTAAAATCCACTGATATTATTCCCCCCACCCCTGTTTCAAGCATGGAAAGCTTTAATCGCACACTGAGATCAGCTTCACCGCCACCTGCATCAGTGGCCAAATTGAACAAGAGATGTCTCTGTTTGTTTCAGCAGCGCAGCAGYGACGGTGTTATCGTATAGAAAGGTTATGGGTTCAATATTAGCAGGGAAGGGAGAGATAAGCTGTGACAATTTGTAATGATTAATATTAAAACCTGAGTGGTATTTAGAAGTAGCTGAATGCGTGGGGCTGTGCTCTTCTCCTGTGTGATGCATTATAACGGAGGGGCTTGGAAATGCATGGTACTCTCATATACGCATCCGTACACAAACARAGTGAGGCGAGGCAGGACAGGAACCAGGCTGTGCGCCCTTCAGACAGAGCCTATTGTCTGCAGATGGGCCTATAATGACCCTACAGCTGGCCACAAACAGCACACCGCTCCAGCTTACTGCCTTATACCACTCTGAAACAAGGACGCCAAGACCATCACTGACTCTGGTGTATGGGGTTCCATTAGGGCCAAAAATATGTCGCCAAACATTTTTCTCATCRGCCACCAAAAAGTGAAGGTGGACYAWAATGGTTTATGCTTTTGTGAGTGTATTAGTGATGCTGAAAATTATCATTAGCTYTACATCTACTAGAGCGGCACGGTATTGGAAAAAAATACGTTTTCTAACCCTGCAATATGAAAAAATACAGGAATTTTCAACAATTTGTAACAATTGTTTAAAACTGATTGGTATTTAGTTAAAATTCTGCGGCCATCTTGATGATGAACCTGCACCAACTTTTTTTTTTGCGTGTTACAAGTATGTTATTGTCTGTTTTTAAGAGTTCTTGTTCCTTCTATTGTGCAAATGTGAATTTTACCACATATAATGTGTTGCCTCTGTGTTTGTCTTAGTTTCTGTCATTCTGTAATGTTAGTCTTCATGCTATCCYTATTTTACCTCTTTGACTACTTCTGCATGTTGACTTTATTTGACTCCTACATTGCTGGAACTTCAATGTGATTATTATGTGCACCTACATTGCGATGACAATGCTGAAATTATTATATTGTGCAGCTTTAACATCTGCAGCTAATATGTGTTCACACTATTGAAATTACTTTTTCTTCTGTACGTTTATCAGCACATTTGTTCCACAATTTTTGTACTATTGCAGCAATTCATATYTGTTCTGGTTCTGCTTTTTTAAAGGGGCAATATCATATAAAATGGATGTTTTACATGATATGTTTGACATGTTTGGGCAGCACGACTGCTCAGTGGTTAGCACCGAGGCCTCACAGCAAGAAGGTCCTGGGTTTGATCCCCGGTTCGGACCTGAGATCTTTCTGTGCCAAGTTTGCATGTTCTCCTCGTGCTTGCGTGGGTTTTCTCCGGGTACTCTGGTTTCCCTCAACACAAAAACARGTACAATAGGTTGCCTTCAGGCCCAGGCCGCCCTCAAAAAAGAGATCTGCGATCTCACTGGGATTTGCCTGGTTAAAAAATGGTAAATAAATCGACTTTTTTGAGTTTTATATTATGTAATAATGTTATCCTCTCATCAAAAACATGCCCAGAGTCTTGCTTTGACTCATTCATGCATGTTTGAGAAATCCTGTAGTGTCCTGTGGCAGCCAGGCAGAGGAGCAAAAACGACCGGTTGGGACTAGAACCACCTTTTGGGACCAGCTCCTCCTCTGGGCTGTGTCTCCAAGCTGAGCTTCCTCATCACAGAACACACACACAACATTTTAATAACAACTTAAGGTGACGGCCTGTGCTGAATTGGGCGGGAAAAAAGCAGAAGGAGGTTCTTAAAGAGACAGAYGCCAATTTCAAGGCCCTAAGAAACAGATATGATGAGAAGTCAAGTTTAATTTCTATTTAAACATATAAACATCATTTTAATAACTGAAGGTGGCATAGTTACTTTGTTATGGTATAGAATTTAAATATATGCCTGAGAAACGCAATATTGCCCGTTTAAGTAGTTTGTGTGAATTTCACCTTCCTTTGACTTCTACTTTGCTGATTTGAACTTTTTCTGCCTTTTTAGCTGTCATTCTGACCTTTTCTGTTATTCTTCTGCTAATTTCAACAACTTCTTCTTCTGCTACTTTAAACTTTCCTTTCATTCCTTTCAGCCCTCTTCATATTTTTCTGCCCTTTCAGCTATATTTCTACACTTCTTACTTTTTATCTGCATTTTTCAGATATTCTGCGCTTTGAAGCTTTTGTTTTCACATGTTGGGATCTTCAGCTAATTTCAGCAATCATGCAGTGAATTTTGGGTTCCACCTCAACTGTTAAAATACAGCAAGCAGTAATAGTTAAGCATCAAAAACATATTTCAGCTTCTTCAGCAGCTTTCAGCTAAGTCATTCAGCAACAAGCAAATGACATTTCTCTAACATTTGGAATCAGTCCTATTCAATATGGCTGCCACAGCCAATGTACTTTAGACAGCCCTGAATAGTTACTCTTATCTGTTAGCAAAATATTTCTTGGCAAACTCGAAGGATTTTAATGAAACTTTCATGAATTATTCATTGGCCATACAGTGCCTACATTTTCTTTTCCTTTTATCAAAAGGTTTTTTTGATCTTATATAAGATATTTTTTAGGTGTCTGAATTAAAGCTTAATGTGTTTGTGAAGACACGGTGCCACAGTGGAACACAAGAAAGAAAGGTGTTAGTTGTTTATCAGAGGGTTTTTTTTTTCATTTTTTGCACACATACACACAATGTACACACGCTCGCATACAAACACACGTCTCAACCACCACCTCGAAATCGGTCCTGTACTACCGCCTAATGCAAAAGGAAGCGCCCACGCAAGAAAACAAGATACAAAGAAAGACACCTTGCAAAGACGTGCACCCACTCAAATTTCTTGCACTGATATGCTCTCTGTTGTGTCCTCCTTTTACGGCGTTTCATTTGTCTTCAACAACTTCAAAAGATCTTCCCTTTTTTTAAAAAAAAACTGTTGTCATAAGTGAAAACAGCGTGGATTAATAATGTCATTTCCTCTTCAGATGCTAAGCTGCGACATGATTTGTAGCTTCAGACACCAACATGGCATTGTTTTGGGGACRGTATAAATAGAACAATAGCTCAGAGTGGTGCTATCTTAGCAGCTGGAGAGAGGCTGTGCTTTCTTCTTCTGCTTTACTTTCTTTTTCAGCTTGTCCAGCTAGCAGGCGAACATTAGTTAGCAGCAGCATGCTTTGTACATTTATCTCACGATGTTATGAGTGCCTGTGTGCAGGCTCTTGCAGATGCCAGATGTGTTCGCAGCCTCCTCCTGTGTACGCTCGCGTCCCCTCCCTCTGGTTCCTGCAGGGGCACGGGGTCTCAATCAGAGCATCAGGGCTCCAGGAACCAAAGCACAGCAGTCTCTCTGTGCTGCCCAGAGAAGCGCAGCCTTGTCTGGGGTTTTCGCTGCATCTGCGGCTTGGGAGGGGGGGGGCGAGCACCGAGGGAAGAGGGCAAATCTCGGTGGGCACCCCGCGGTGCTGGTTTCACTGGAAGTGTGCTTCAGACAAGTGTTCACAAATACAGTAGATCCTGCTRGATGCCTTGGATCTTACTGAATGAAATTTTCTCTAACAGGTTAGTTTGGTGCAACATGAGCACGATTAGGAGCAAGAGCTAAATAAATAAAAGGCAWGAGCACACATGTTAAACCTGGACACA